CAGCTCAGAGCCTGGAGCCTGCTTCAGATTCTGTGTCTCCCTCTCTCTCTGACCCTCCCCCGTTCATGCTTTGTCTCTCTCTGTCTCAAAAATAAATAAAACATTAAAAAAAAAAATTAAAAAAAAAAAGAAAGTGTCACTGAAAAAAAAATTTTTAAAAACACCAAAAACATTTATATTCTTAGAACTACCCCTGGGAATTCATCTTAAGAAAATGAAAAAAACCCATAAAGTTTTATGCACAAGGATATTTACAAAGATAATTTAAAATTACAATTTAAAAAGCATTTTACTGCAGTTTAAGATATACATCACTACATTTTTTTTACATCACATTTTTAATAGTGAAAATTAGAACCAGTTTAAATCTAAATGACACAAGGAATGTTTACATAAATTATACATCTTCAGCAGAGTATTTTACAAAATCATTTAAAAAGGTTAATGAAGAGTTTCTGATACTAAAATGAAAGCTCAGCTAATAATGACTATGGTAGGGGCACCTGGGGTGGCTCAGTCGGTTACCCATCCGACTTCAGTTCAGGTCATGATCTCACAGTTCGTGACTTTGAGCCCTGCGTCGGACTCTGTGCTGACAGCTTGGAGCCTGAAGCCTACTTCAGATTCTGTGTCTCCCTCTCTCTCTCTGCCCCTCCTCTGCTTGCACTCTTATCTCTCTCTCTCAAAAATAAATAAACATTAAAAAAAAAAGTTAAAAAAATGACTGGTAAAACTAAAGGTGTTTATTTTAAATTCTATTTTCCACTTCCACAGACTGATGTGGAGGAAATTCTGGGGAACAGGAGGACCAAAAGAAGTCTGAAACCTCACTGAGAAGCCCCAAGTTAAGACTAGCCAGGGAACAGGCCAAGAACCTGGAAGGAAAAGGGAGGAAAATAAGACAAAAGAATTCACACAAACCACTGAGAGATGAAACCAGGAGAAATACCATAAACAGAAGCTAAAGTAACAGCCTATCTTCACTGATACGGACTCTACAGGCGGGTCTTGTGATAAATAAAATGTAGAGTACAGTAGAAATCTTCCAGGAAGAATACACTTAGATTATAAGATTGCTACAACCATTTAAAAATGGGAAGAGAAGTAGGATCAATGGTTGTTCTCTAGCCCAGCAGGTTGTACAGTGATATATTTGAGACACATAAAACTGAAGTCACGTGCCATCTCCTTTCTGTCTCAGAAATAACACTAGTACAAGGTGTGAGAGGATCTGCTCCCTGGTACTTTGCAAATGAGGGAAGGTAACAGAAAGGTCTCCTAGCCTTACATTCCATGTAGAAGGGTGAGAGAAAACAGATAGGAATTACGATCTGAAATTAGACGAGACCTTTTGATGAGAAAATAAGAAGACTTTTAAGTTAACAGAAGCTATGCTTGCTGAATACTTAGGGGTAAAGAAAAGAGAAATTGCTAAACCTGAGGCTGTTTAACTTGTTTATTAATTTAAGTTCAAGCAAACTGTCCTTGGTTCTAAGATTATCACAAAGGAGACAGACCATAATTTGTTTAGCAATTGGCTACTTCATTTATTCCAGGCTGCCTAATATAGGATAGCCCCAAGTCCATTTTTGAACCCAGATCTAAGCCAACTTAGTTTTAAATGTTTTTACTATAGGGGCCGCCCGGGTTGCTCAGTTGGTTAAGTGTCTGACTTAGGCTCAGGTCATGATCTCCCGGTTTCTGAGTTCAAGCTCCACATTGGGCTCTGTGCTGACAGTTCAGAGCCTAGAACCTGCTTCAGATTCTGTGTCTCCCTCTCTCTGCCCCAATCCTGTTCGCGCGCGCGCTCTCTCTCTCAAAAATAAATAAACGTAAATAAATAAATAAATAAATAAATAAATATTCTTACTATAGGATAATTTAAGAAGGAAAATAGGCATCAGTATAAGCTTAATTGGACATTTTCTTTTCTGTTTTGTTTTAAAGTAGTTTTAGCTATCTAAGTTATTGCTTAAGTCCTCTCTAAAGAAAACAAAGTCTTTAAAAGTCTGTTTCATACAGGCTAGAATATAATAATAAATTCATGATGTAATAAAATTGATTTTTATGTGCTATACACACATACACACACACATACTTCATATTTACATGGGATCCTTTATGGGTACAAATGCATTTATAACTATTTTATTGGACTGGAAGAGTCCAACTCTTCTAGGTGATTTCAGAAGTATACAGTCTAAGTTTTTGAACATTGTTAATTATAACCTTGTCATGATGAAATATAACCTAACACATGACAATCTCTTCAAAACCAGTTTCTGAGAATGTATTGTGATAAATACTATCTTTACTAAAACTCTAAACTAATACACAGTGAATCAGTTTGCATCACTCCCTAAAAATTAGAAAAAAGCAACTTTCCAACATTAGAATAAATTATGAAAATTATGACAGAGCCCATCAGTGGATACTACCAAGGTCTTAAAAATGACAAACTGGGATTATAAATTAACACTGGGAAATGCTGATGGTAGAACACTGAATAAGAAGGTGAGATGCAAATTTTTCACTATAGAATGATTACAGTATAGAGTAACTTGGAGGGATAAAGATCATAATGCTAAAAGTAGATATTTTAGTATAGTGAGGTTATAGGTAACCTTTTTCTTCTCTCTTTCCTAAAAGTTTTAAAATTTGTTTATATTCTTTTTTTATGAAAATAACTTTTGTTAAAAATCATCACTGAATACATAGTATTTCACGTGATACTGTTTTATTAACCTTTAAAAACGTTTTTATAAAGTTTTATTGAAGTTTATTTATTTATTTTGAGAGAGAGAAGGAGAAGAGAGAGAGAATCCCAAGTAGGCTCCACACTGTCAGCACAGAGCCCAATGGAGGGCTTGAACCCACGAACCGTGAGATCATGACCTGCGCCGAAATCAAGAATCAGACATTTAACTGACTGACCCACCCAGGCTCCCCTTAACCTTCTTTAATCCTATCTTATAATAATGGAAGTTAATGGTAGATAGGACAGAAAAATTTGTTCAGAACTTAAAACAAATTCTGTAAGAAATAAAAGGAGGAATTAGAATTCTAACTGCAAAGAAAGAAAAAAAAGAGAATGTGCTGATGTCTAATGACGTGATTATTAAATTTGTTGTAAAATTCAAAGTTTTCTTTGTCAATTACTTTTTGGAAAAGAAACATTAGCACACGAAACTAATTCATAAAGAAGATAACAACTACAACAGCATAAAGACACAGATGAGGATTACAGAAAGAGAAAGGAAAGGTACCACCGAATACTAGCAAATCTGATATAAGTGACTAGGAACTATAATCTGTGGAACTATCAACAGGGACATTATAAAGACCATCTTCTTTTAGAGGAGATTCCTGACCTTGTATGCATGTTAACTTTATTAAATCCTACCACTGACAGATCAGATATAATTATTTTACACAATGAATCTGTGGCCATTCTATTTCCTGATGTCCTTCAGTAAATAAGAGAAAACATTTCAGAGAGAAGATGTGAGAAACAGAATAAAGTCAGTCGGTTAATAACAAGATATACAGAATGTACCAAAAAAACAAATAATCTGATGAAAAATGAGCAAAAGACATGAATAGACATTTCTCCAAAGACATCCAGATGGTCAACAGACGCTTGAAGACATGCTCAACATCTCTGATCATCAGGGAACTGTAAATCAAAACCACAATGAGATATCACCTCATGCTTGTTAGAATGGCTAAAATCAAAACCTCAAGAAACAACAGGTGTTGCCGAGGATGTGGAAAAAAGGAACCATCGTGCACTGTTGGTGGGAATGCAAACTGGTACAGCCACTGTGGAAAACAGTATGGAGGTTCCTCAAAAAATAAAAAATAGAACTATCATATGATCCAGTGATTCTACTACTGGATATTTACCCAAAGAATAGGAAAACACTAATTCAATATTTATGTAGCTCTATTTTACTGCAGCATTATTTACAACAGTCAAGTTATGGAAACAATCCAAGTGTCCATCAATAGTTGAATGGATAAAGATCTGAAAGATATATACAACGGAATATTACTCAGCCACAAAAAAGAATGAAATTTTACCATGTGCAACAACATGGATGGATCTAGTGGGTATAAAGTCAAAGTGAAATAGGTCAGTCAGAGAAAGAAAAATACTATATGATCACTCATACGTGCAACTTAAGAAATAAAACAAACGAACAAAGAAAAAGAGACAAAGCAAAAAAAGACTCAACTATGGAGAACAGACTGATGGTTACCGGAAGGGAGGTGAGTGGGGGGATGGTGAAATAGGTGAAGGAGATTAAGAGAACACTTATCATGATGAGCACTGAGCAGTGTATAGAATTACTGAATCACTATAGTGTACATCTGAAACTAATATAACAATGTAGGTTAATTATACTGGAATTAAAAATAAAAGTAAATTCAACACTATCTGGTCATTTACCAACTTCAACAGTGACCTGCATATAATGGACATTCAATAACAAGTGTTCATTATCAAGTACAACAGAGAACATTCTGTTTTTAAGACCACAGAGTATTTCTAGTACTCAGAAATCACAGCAGATTTAGAATGACAGCTAAAAATATTAGTTCAACTTCACACTTGTATAAATATTTATAGATGTGTTTAAGAAAATGCACCTTTTGAAAAAGTAATCTAGGTTATTAAATTTAAAAAGCAAGAAGAGGGGGCGCCTGGGTGGCGCAGTCGGTTAAGCGTCCGACTTCAGCCAGGTCACGATCTCGCGGTCCGTGAGTTCGAGCCCCGCGTCAGGCTCTGGGCTGATGGCTCAGAGCCTGGAGCCTGTTTCCGATTCTGTGTCTCCCTCTCTCTCTGCCCCTCCCCCGTTCATGCTCTGTCTCTCTCTGTCCCAAAAATAAATAAACGTTGAAAAAAATTAAAAAAAAAAAAAAAGCAAGAAGATAAAACAGATTATCACACACCCAAAAATGTGTCAAACTGGAAACTGTAAATCTTATCTCCTTACCATAGGTGGCAAAAGTTCTTCTTTGCTGTTCAAACATAAAGTCATTGATATGAGCTGGTTCAGCATATCCAGAAAGCATATTTCTAGGGGCAGCCATTTGCTGTGTCCTAAAGGGATTTTCTGGTCCAAACTGCAATGTTATAAGAAAAAAAATCAAACTTAAATCCTAAGTATATAAAGCCAGAATACTAGAATTATTGTACAATATATTTTTAACTCTAAATCATTAGGGGCTAAGTAACCTACTTGGGAACATGCTCCCCACACATGGTTCAGTGCAGTTGGGCAATGGCTGATGAGCACTGTTTGTCAGCCCAGCCCCTAGGACAGAAGGAGAGGAACCCAGCTCACCCAAGTCTCTGTATGGCTATTTAAATTTAAATTACTTAAAATAAAATATTCAGTTCCTCGGTCACACTAGCCAGACTTCATGTGCTCAACAGTCACATGTGGTTATTGGCTACTACATTTCCTTCATTGCAGGAAGTTCTATTGGACAATGCTGCTCTTGATGATTGAGTTACTATATTTTTGTCCAACGATTTGGGGGATTTGGGGTGACTTTTTTTTTTAATTTATAAAGATGATTTTTGGTATATCAATAATGGTACCGTGATGTAATTTTAAAAATACATGTTTCTTCTCTACTAGATTATGAGTTCTTCAAAGGTAGAGACTTAAAATCCTCAATACTTACCATCATGCATGACATACTAAAAGCATTAATGAAGTGAAAGATTAATCAGAACCCCACTGGGGTCAGAGAATAGGAAAAAGACAATAAAAGTAAAATGCTTGAAGAAATCCCTAGAAAAAGATATTACAAATGAAATAAAATTACTCTGAGAAGTCACACTATGAAAGTCTTACACAAAATAGTACGTTATTATCTGTTTATAATGCTTTGAGTTTCCATAATGGTTTCCAAATGTTATTTAATTTGATTTGTACAAAGATCCTGGGAAGTTAGAGAGGTATTCTTCTTCTCATGTTAGAAATGAAGAAAAAAGGCTAAAGATGATGTATTTTATCTGCCCCAGAGTCAATAGTTTTATTATTAATTGGTAGAACCAAGGTTAGAACAAACTCTAGTCTAGGATTCTATTGTATCATAACATTCCTTAAATGTACAATCATAATAACTTTTAAAAAAATGGTAAAAAAAAGTATCAGATTATGTCAAGCACTATTAATTTAATAATATTTATTTAATGGTAATGGAAAAATCCAACTCTGTATTTTTTCGTTTGTTTTAAAATAAACAATGAAATGAACTTCCCATTTTGGAAATAGTGGGGTTAGACAGGATATTCTTATTTAAAGTCTGGAAGGTCTTCACGATAAAGTATTTCAGCGTCAGAACACCTTAAGTCACTACCATTAGAAACCACCATTCCTGTGATATATTTCCAGAGCCATAAATATAAGTTATTGGTCTTCTCTTAAGGAGAATGCTGCCTTCTCTAGATATCAATATTATACTATGCACAAAAATCTGAATTTAAATGATGTTACATTTGCTTTATGTTTTTTTTCTGCTTTAGAAGAAAATGCATTACTACAATATTCTTTTATATTGATAGCTTCCATTTCTATGTTTAAAGTGATTCAATTTAAAAAATATTTGATTTACAGGGGCGCCTGGGTGGCGCAGTCGGTTAAGCGTCCGACTTCAGCCAGGTCACGATCTCGCAGTCCGGGAGTTCGAGCCCCATGTCAGGCTCTGGGCTGATGGCTCAGAGCCTGGAGCCTGTTTCCGATTCTGTGTCTCCCTCTCTCTCTGCCCCTCCCCCGTTCATGCTCTGTCTCTCTCTGTCCCAAAAATAAATAAACGTTGAAAAAAAAAATTTTTTTTAAATAAAAATATTTGATTTACATACAAAACTTTTATTACTATTCATTCTGAATTTATAATAAAGGAGAATGCAAGATTTCACAGCCCATATTAGTTCCTCCTTACGTAAGGGAGAAAAAAAATCTAGACTACTGAATGCTGGCAGTTATAGTAACTTTGTCATGAAATTTATTACAAAAACAAGGGACATCCATAAGAGTAAGGATAATAAAGTGATTTAAGTTTCCTAGATGTTCTACCTAATATAGTCAGCTATCATCCACAAAGCAGTATCTGATATTTCTGGGGGGAGGGAGGATCTAAAATGATAAATATCTCCATTGATCTTGTTACTCATATAATAAGTTAACCATTACATTTATAATTTCCATTTGAAAAAGGAAAATACAATTTCCATAGTCTTATTTTATTAAGATTTTACAAAAAAAAAAAAAAAAGAACAATTCTTCTACTGGCCATATATATCAAATCAACTCTATCTTTTAAAGAAAAATTCTCAGTGTTAAGGAACTTTGATTTCTATATGAATACAGATCCACAGATTACAGCTAAGTGTATCTTATATTGGTGCTATTTCTAAAGCAGTCTAAAAATTTAAATGTGCTATGTTTTATAGATGTTTAAGCTGGAGACAACAAAAAAAATCTTCTAATGCTATAGGAAGCTGGGTTGGGGGAGGATCTATCTACTTCTGGCTCACCCCAACTGCCTGGTTAACAGCAGCTACTGGAACTGACCTTAAAGATATTAAATAAATGCCAACAAAGAAAAGAAGAGAAATGTTACTCAGCAGAAGTCAGCTCTTCTCAATTCCTTAAAAATTATGTGTCCCAGATGTTCCTGGTCTCTGTGAATATGCATTTCTATTAATTCTGGGTTAACCATTAAAAAACAAAACAAAGTATAGGAGCACTTGGCTCAGTTGGTGGACCATGTGACTCTTGATCTTGGGGTTGTGAGTTTGAGCCCCATGGTGGCTGCAGAGAATACTTAAAATAAAAATATCTTCCAAAAAATAAAAAAATCAAAAAGCACATAAAACACAAAACTGACTTCCAAATATTCTTTTTAACTTCTGGCAACTACGTTTAACTAAATTTGTATTCAAAGGATTTTAAAAATACATACTTAATTAGGTATGAGTATTTAGCGGTTTTTAGCTAAGACCATACTAAAGCACACCACAGTCAGTTATAATCTTAATCTCCCATATAAAATATACACATTTAAGTATTAATTCATAATTCAGATCACTACATCTCAGGATGTTCCTAAGTATGCTTATATGTTTCACCTGAGTGAAGTAGTGATTTATTTATAAAGTAGGAGAAAAGCATTTTTAATTCATTAAGACGCGGGTAGATAAATCTAAGAAATCTGTGTATTGTAAGGCAGTGGTTCTCCAAAGTCTTCAGGAGGTACAGTACTTGAGGGTCAGTGTCTTAGCAGTATAGCGTAACACCACAGGTATTAAGAAAATTTACACTAGTAAAAACTATGTGAAATCATAATCATAAATTCACATATAGAACACCCCCCCAAGTTACTGAACCAGTAATAATCATATTATACTTAGATTTCTGGTAAGTTTTTCATTAATGTTTACTGTAGCCATCAATGGTTAAACATTTAGAAACAAACTTTAAGGTGAGAAGATCCTGTTGATTAACTTAATTATTTTCCACAAATTTGGAAAAGATCACCACAATTCATTTTTATTGGGAGAATACCTCAATCATCTAAGACATAAGCAGAGTTTATTACTAAAATAAGATCTTTTACTAGTAGGGGTTCTATGACCTTGAGCCTCAGTTTCCTCATCTATAAAATAAAAGAGCTGAACTGTCTTCTAAAGTTCATTCCAACATTAATATTTATAGCAGCCCTTATGGCCAGATTTCTAATATAAACTAGGAACTTTTTTTCCTTTTAACTTTGATGTTTTTCTATTCCTAAAAGTACTATTATTTTAAATCTGAAAATCTCCCTGAAACTTACAGGTTTTACATGAGTCTAGGAAAGCTAACAAGTACATTTTTCTCAAGTAAATCCAAAAAGGATTGAGTGAAATGAAGAAAATCAGTAGACTAAAGCAATGGCTATTATATTTTCAAGTTCTATCTATAATTTGAGAAAGCTTATCTGGATACTAGGTTAGACCACTTAGGAAAAGTCCTCGGTTGGGAGGGAAAAATAATATTTTATAAAATAAAGTAGTCAATTCAGTTAATTTACTGAACTAGCAAAGTCCAAGACGTAGGGGTATAATGTGCAAACTCTGCAACGGTCTACAAACAGGTCTTCTAGCCACAGAGCAATTGTGAAGAGTGATGTGAACTCACATCCCCAAATACATACCTGCTGACAGTAAACCCTGAGACTTGGTTTCCTCCCTATAAAATAGGGATTAGAGTACTAATAATAACATGGGTTATTGTAAAGACTAAAGGAGATGAGGTATACAACTATATAAATCTCTCAAGGATGCAGGATACAGTAAGAAATGGTACTTTTATTTCTACGACCACTCTTTTCCATCATGCAAATCCTCACCAAATTAACCTTCCTAAAAATTCAGCTTTAATTATGCCACTTTAATAAGAACTTTAAAAATCTATGTATCATCTATTAAATCAAGACCAAACTGTTTACATTGGCCAGAACCCTGTACAACACCATGCAAACTATCACTCTAATCTTACCTCTCTGTTCTCCCCAACTGACAATGACTAAAGTATTCCTTCCTGTTCTTCAAATCTTTTATAATTTGGCTAATGCTACTCTCTTCTGCCTGGAATCTTTCCTCATAAAAGCCTTTCTAGCCATCAATGCCAGTAATAGTAACATAAATAACAGTAAGGGCTGCTATTTATTAAATGCTTACTCTGTGCCAGAGTTTCCTAGGCATATCATACATTAGTGTGTGTATCCATATAACTTGGTAAAGTAGAAATTATCTTCATTTTACCCTTGAGAAAACTAAGGTAACCCAGGGTCACACCAAAGCTAGTAAGCAGTACATTTAACCTCACATCTCATGTTCTTTACTGGGACTTTACTGTTTATTTTAAATTCAAGTGTATTTTTTTAATTAATTTATTTTTAAATTTACTTATTTAAATTCAAGTTAATTAACATACAGTGTAGTACTGGTTTCAGCAGTAGAATTTAGACATTCATCACTTATGTATAATACCTAGTGCTCATCCCAACAAGTGCCCTCTTTAATGCCCATCACCCATTTAGCCCATCCCCCCACCCACCAACCCTCAGTTTGTTCTCTCTGTATTAAGAGTCTCCTATGGTTTCCCTCCCTCTGTTATGTTATTTTTCCTTTCCTTCATCTGTTGTGTTTCTTCAATTCTACATGAGTGAATTCATATATTTGTCTTTCTCTGACTTATTTTGCTTAGCATAACACACTCTAGTTCTATCCACTTTGTTGCAAATGCTGATTTCAAGGGGTACATGCACCCCAGTGTTTATAGTGGCACCTCTCAACAATAGCCAAACTATGGTAAATACACAAACATCCATCGACTGATCAATGGATAAAGAAGATGCAGTATATAAAATAGAATACTACTTGGTGATCAAAAAGAATGAAATCTTGCCATTTACTGTTTATGTTTTTTTTACATTTTTATTTTATTTTTGAGAGAGAGACAGAGTGTAAGCAGGGGAGGGGCAGAGAGAGAGGGAGACACTGAATCTGAAGCAGGCTCCAGGCTCTGAGCTGTCGGCACAAAGCCCGACGTAGGGCTCGGACTCTTGGAACCGAGCTGAAGTTCGGACGCTTAACTGACTGAGCCACCCAGGTGCTCCAGCCATTTATTATTTTAAATACTACTTTCTCCATGAAACGTTTTCTTATCTTTACAACCAGACACAATCTCTCCTTTAACCTGAATAGGGCTTTAGGCATTCTAGGAAACAATGTGCTCTCTATCGTTTTAGTGTATGTGCTGCTGAAGTGAGCACTCTATCTTTTAAAATAACACAAAGCATATCCTCTCTGGTAAACAGTAGCTTGAGGAGAGGGGTTGTATCTTGTTTCTAACAATGGGTTCTCAAAATATGGGAACTTGAATTTCATCCAGCAAAGTTCCTCGTGACACCTTTCCATACTTTGCAAATTACACAGATCCCAGTCATAAAATTCTAAGTTAATTATCTATTATGTAACAGACAATTCATTTGGCAACCAGGAAAAATTGTAATTTTTCTTCACTTTTCCCTCTCATCACTCCTTTCTCAAATTGGTGACAAGCATCAGTGTTTGTAACATAAACTAATTTATATATTGAATGGGAGGCTCCCTAAAACAAGAAAAAAAAAGAACAGATCATTAAAGGATTGGTAATCTCACAAAGACAATGATACGCCTGATGCCTCATCAATATCACCAAAAAAAAACAACTTCATCTTTTAAATTTTGAAAACAGTAATCACACAGCAATGTATTAGTTATGCACAGGACCTAAAACATTTAAGAGAAAGCGACTTCATATAAAATGCACTGACATAGGAAGGTCACATGCGCGCGCGCGCACACACACACACACACACACACACACCACACTACTTCCAAACTTTCTCATTTCCTGAATTTAGTGGCCCTATTTTATTGAAGCACTTTTCATTTAAAAAAATCATGAAGCATGTATGTAACGTACAACCTTTCTTCACCGTGCCAGCTAAAGTGGTGCCAAGGGATATGAAAACAGTCTATAGGTTCAACAGGCTAGAAGGACTTAAATAATATAATAAAATTTAAAATGTGCTGCAGTCTCAGAATATGAGCATGGGATTTCTGCTAACTGGACAGCCGGAGAACCGCTACAGGGATGTCTAAATGCTAGCACTGACATCATCAGCTGTGCTACATTTTTCACTCGCCGTATTTCAAGTGACTACAGAAACCTGAGCAGGCAGATTATATAAAACAGCTTTATGACTGCTTTATCAAAAAAAGGACAATGACTGTGTGCTCAAAACCACAAAGTATTAAAAAGTACCTCTTTCTTCATTCAGCTGCAATAAAATATGGCTCCTCACCCCCATTTTAAAGCGCTTCTTACAGATCCTGCTACTGAAGGCTTACTTTTTTGTTTTATAATGACCATTTTCTGGCATCTCCATTTTCTCAGCCAAGCATTCTTTCCCTTTTTGAAAACAAAATAGCTATAAACTTCATTTTTCTACAAAGACTTTCCTAAATGGACAGTTTTCACTGTTTTCCTTCCTTCCTTCCTTCCTTCCTTCCTTCCTTCCTTCCTTCCTTCCTTCCTTCCTTTTTTCTCTTCTCTTCTCTTCTCTTCTCTTCTCTTCTCTTCTCTTCTCTTTTCTTGCCTTTTCCCCCCATCTTCTTTGTGCTTACATCAGCATTAATCATCATCACCACCACCACCACCACCATCATAAGATGTCTCACACAGAGCAAGCAATACACCCTGTGACTACTTCTGAGCAGTGAACACATTAGCACGGCACTCCTTTTTTGCATTCATCACAGGAGCATTTGTCACCAGATGTTTCATAATACACTCCGCACTGATGATGCTAATAAAACAAGTTCTTTTTCCCTTATGGTTAATTTATAATACTCCCTTAACAATACTGAGGAAGATGTTAACTACGTTCACATCTAAGAACCAAACATTTCAAAATGTCTTTTTTCAAAAGACTGAGTTCCATTCTATCAGATAGTTGTATGTTGGTAGACAAACATTAGCACATTTTTAAAGGTACAATTTCTTTTTTTAAAAAATTGAGATATAACTGACACATAATAAGACATGTTTTTTGTAAATTTAAATGTATATTCTTGTGAGAAAACTCCAAAAACTCACTGTTTATCTACCTATGTATAATTCAAATGCATTAGCAAAAGGCAGAATTTTTTTTTTTTTTTTTTTAAGGCAGAATCTTAAATATAATGTTTTCTCACCTCAGGAGCAAACATGGTCTCATAGGTAGGATTATACTGAACCTCTTTGACTGCAGGGTCAAGGTGAACTCCGGTCTCCAAATCTTCCTAGAAGAAAACCAAATGAACGTTAAAGATCTGACAGATAAAGATTTTATTTTAGAAACTACATTAAGATCATACTAGCCAGCTTAACACGAATTTTATGATTATTACACGAGTACCATATGATTAATATTTCTAATAATCAAGGACTAGTAGAAGTAATGTATATAGGTATAGAAGTTAGAATGCATACCAAAATTTTTCTCCTTTCAAAATACTTTGTCTCATCTGAACATATTAAAAACTTTTCTAAATAAGCTAATGAGCTACTCAAAGCCTTAAATTAAGAGAGTCCAACTCCTCTTTTTTCATGAACTCAAAACCTCCAGTTCCAAATTCAGGATAACTCCTTCTTTATTCACCAAACCTTATTAGCTATACCCAGATGGCACATGGCTCAGGACTGCAGAAGTGGCAGGACCCTAACATTCTAAATCTAAATCTTACACTCTATGCCAATGTTTCAACCATCTTAAATTCATCCCCTAGCTTAACAAACACAAAATTCTCACGTCCACTGGAGAATCACTGGTGATCTCTATTTTGTGTAACCCCAACACTTACAAATACCGTAATTCCCAAATTGGCATCTCTAGTCTGGACCTCTCCTCTGAACTCTAAAGACTTGTGTATCTGACCTTTAACTCAACATCTTTTCTCCCAGGATGCCTAATGGATATCTCAAACTTGATATATCCAAAAGTGAACTTCTGGTCACCCCTTCCCAATGACTTCTTCCAGCCTTACATCTGCTCACGCAAAAACTCCTGGAGTTATCCTTGATTCCTCTTTCTTCTACATTGTACCTCCAATTCATCAGCAGATCCTCTATCTTCTACACACATCTAGAGTTCAACAACTTCTCAAGTCCTCTTTCATGGACATCTCACAACCCAATTTATCAACTCGCACCTGGATTATTGCAATAGTCTCTGAAATGGGCTCCCTGCTTCTACCCTTGTCCACTCACAGCCTCACTCCATGCAGGAGCTGTGAGATTTTTAAAAAATATTAGATTATGTTACTCCTGCTCTAAACCCTCAGGTAGCTTCTCCACTCAGAGTAAAAGCCTAATAAAGGTGTAAAGGCTCATTACCAGTTGTTCTCAGAAACTAAGTATGGTTCCCCTAGGTAGTGTTACAAGGCATTTTTGTCTTCCTGTATTGTTCTGCCTGATTATTTACATATTAAAAACGTGCTGTTCATATGTGTTTAATTTACACATTAAACAGGTAATAAATACCTTTCCTTTACTTATGGTACTCAAGTTATATTCAAAAATTTTTAAGAAAGTTACATATCATCTGTGAATTATACTTCAGTAAAGTGGAATTACAAAATTACTATTACAAAATGAGGATGTTTGAATCTAATTGGTTGAGAATTATCCTCCCCCTGAGATCCCAGAATGATCTGTACCCCCACTCGCCTCCATAAACTTCTGTATTCATCTAGTCCTGTGCCGATGCTCATTAACTCCAGCCTCACTGGCTCCTTTGCTATTCCTAGAATTCACCAGAGGACAATCTTGCCTCAGGGTCTCTGCATGTACTGTTCCCTTTTCTTGGAATGTTCTTTCCCTGGATATTCACATGATTGGTCTCTCTCTTTTTCAGGTCCCTGCTCAGTTTTTCCACTTTCCTCTTACTTTGCTTTATTTTTCTCCATTATATTTTTCATCATCTGACATGTTTATTTATTTCCTGGATTTTGAATGCACAAATGTATCTTCACACCCTAGAATTATCCCTATCACATCACCATCTTTATTCTGTTGGTCTTTTGCTGATGTGACATACATCTGTCAACACAATGCATAAGACAACTCAAAGTAATAATCAAAAAACATTTTTAATGTTCATTTATTTTGAGAGAGAGAGAGAGAGCATGTATGTGCATGTGCACACAAGGGAAGGGCAGACAGAGAGAGGGAAAGAGAATCCTAAGCAGGCTCCGCACGGTCAGTGCATGGGCCGCCACAGTGCTCAATCCTCAACGTGAGATCATGATTGAATGGAAATCAAGAGTTGGATGCTTAATTGACTGAGCTACCCAGATGCCCCTGAAATTTTTTTTTTAAAGGTGAGATATCAAAAGGGTGCCTGGGTGGCTCAGACACTGGTTGAGTGTCCGACTTCGGCTCAGGTCATGATCTCACAGTTCGTGAGTTTGAGCCCTGCATCTGGCTCTGTGCTGACAGCTCAGAGCCTGGAGCCTGCTTCGGATTCTATGTCTCTCTCTCTCTCTGCTCCTCCCCTGCTCACACGCTGTCACTCTCTCTCAAAAATAAATAAAGATTTAAAAAAAATTTTTTTAAGGGTGAGTGACGCTGCAGAAGAAGCAATGCTACTGACAAATGAAGATCTGGGAGACTTAGAATGACTAATGACAAAGACTAGGAAACTGACCAAAGAAAATAATACTGTAGGCACACAATTATTGTTCCAAAATTTTACCACTTCTAAAGCAACCTCACCCAAAGCAGCCAACTTAGTTTTTCTACTTCTCAGAGATAGAGTTCTTCAAATATGACTCCCTTAAACTTCCATCCTCTCTAGTTTCAAAACTGTATCTTTACCTTCTCTTGTCTTTCTCATGACTTCAGTCTCCACCTTAGATTTTTATCTGCAACCTTGACCACACGCTTGGCCTCTGGATCCACATATGCAACTGCTTACCGAACTGCATTATACGGGTGTTCCATAACATCAAACACTTTGTGTTCAAAACACATCTCAATCCGCCATGCCTCTACCTTCACTCACTAACAAATAAGGCACAGAATCTTGATTCCATTTCTGAAATATTTCTCCAACAACTCCACTTCTACAGTCCCTCTCCACATCCCTGTCTCCACTATTCTAGCACAGACTCCATCATATCTTGTCTATTCTAATACCTCCTTATCTGGTTTAATACACTCCCACTTTTGCCATATTAGACAAATTACTGATTTTTAAAAATATCAAGTACTTGCATCTATTCTGTGCTGTTGGCAATGTCACACTCTTTGTTCCTTATTGTATATCCCTTTATTATCTGATAATATGTCATCTTACTTTCTCTTATACCTTTCCTCCTCTTGACTCAGGAAAGCTGCTTTTCCATGGTCCTAAGGAATGTTGTACATAATTCCTTATAGCAATTGTGATACTGTATTATCTGTTGCACATGACTTTTACGAAGATTTTATATCCTCACTGCCTAGAATGCAGAGAATTTAGTGTATGTTCAATAAATTTGTTAAACTGAAGAAAGAAAAGTCAAATCCATAGAGAAATTAAAGAGGGTTAAGGCTAAATAATGATTGCCAAATCTGGCAATTGCATCACAAAAAAACCTTTGCCAGAATGATTCTGGTAGTGGAGTAGATAGAAAAGCAGTCGTGAGAGACAGAGATATAATTAAGGATTTAGAAAAAGAGGACAGTAATAGTTTCTACTCTCTCAAGACACTTGGCAATAAAGCAGAGATGGGGTGCCAGATTGAAGGATTTTCAAGGTAAAATTAAGTTTGTTAGCTCCCTCCTTAAAAAGAGACTAAGCTGAGATTTAGTCAATTATAAGCTACAGGATAGGAGAGAATAGGGAGAAACACATGAAAAGAATGAGGGGAGGGGTGCCTGGGTGGCTCAGTCAGTTAAGCGTCAGACCCTTGATTTCAGCTCAGGTCATGATTTCGTGGTTTTAAGCCCCACATTTGCCTCTGCACTGACAGTGTGGAGCCTGCATGGGATTCTCTCTCTCTCTCCCTCTGCCCCTCCCCCACTTGCATTCTCTCTCTCTCTCTTTCTCTCTCTCTAAATAAATAAACTCAAAAGGAAAAAAAAGAATGAGGGAATAATCAATGGTGTGGTTATCCTGGAAGAAGTGGGAAGGAAAAGAATCGAGGACACAATTGGAAGGTTAGTTTCTGAAAAGAGGAGAACCTTCTCTGAGATGAAACAGAGGTGACAAAGGATGGGTAATGGGTGATAGATGTTTGGAGCCGGTGGGAGATGTTGGGACTCATAACTGATTTTATTTTCTTTGAGTAGTTGGGGGCACAGGCCTCTTCACAAACCAAGTATGGTAACTTCAAATTCATTTATTGATTCAACAAATATCGATTGGGTGCCTCCTATGTGCCAAGCATTGTTCTAGGCCCGCAGAAGCAGATAAAGCTCCCTGACCTTGTGGAGCTTAGAAAGTGGGGGAGACAGATAATAAGCAATATACTAAGTGAATTACATAGTTTGCTGGAAGAGGGTAAGTGCTATGAAAAAAAAAAAGGGCTTAACAACATTAGTGCTGACTCACATTATCTCATGTAATTCCTACAACACTTCTGTGAAGCAAGTATTAGCAACATTAAGTCGCTTACTCCAAGATACTAATAGAATAAATGGGAAGGGGGAAATTTTCAAGTAACCACAATGAATGATATTAAAGAGACACATTAGCAACAAACGAAAAAAACCACTGGCGGGCTATCAGTCAGGGTGCTTAGCCACAAGTAGCTAAACTCTCACAGACTGATTAAACAATATTGAATCCTTTCTCTTAGAACTGCCAAGAAGGGTGGAGAATCAGTTTGGGGAAATAGGCATAAGTGAGGGTGAGTATACAGATGGAATCACAATTGAAAATCCATCCTACCACAGAGCCAGTCCACTGAGGACAACAGTTCGCCATTACTGAACATCATCACTAAATGACTGTGGCTGCCACTGGACACTGCTGTTGAGACTCGTGGCCTGAGAAACGAGATGTTGGCCACCACTGCCACTGAAGATACTCTCTCTCCTTGCTTCTTTGTGGAATAGCTTTAGATTAGAATTTAAGTGAGTGCATTTGTCTGCTGAGCCCAAGTTACTGTCCTGAGCCTTAAATAAAATGGAATTAGGAGAATGAGAATCTGGGCTTTCAGGCTCTGAAGGTCGGGGCAGCAAGGGCTGTTCTTCACATGAAGACTCTCAAGGAAGGGGATTCAAATGTCGGACCATCTAAAGAATGATACGTATA